CACAGATCTCAGCAGTGTCACACGTGTGGGAGGTGGGGTGATAAAGAGAGGACTTGGTACCAGCCATGCCTCACCTGGGAGCTCCAGAAATGCCCGTCCTTGGCCTTGTGTCCACTGCAGGTGTTTGTAGAATTTCCAACTCAGACCTCAGCATCTGGATGCTCTTCTACCAGCAGGCCAGGTCCGGTTGGGAGGGAGAGGATGCCCATGAGAATACAGGTAAAGAAGCTACCGCCTCCTCCGAGAATACCCTGAGCTCTGGGAGGGCCTCTGTCCTAAGAGGCTGTGTCCTGGACTCTAAGCTACTCTCTCAGCATTTCTACTGCTCAGGAATCAGCCTTGCACAGGTGCGTCAATCCCTACAACTTCAGTTCCCTTTTGCAAAATTGGGGGATGATAGCGCCATCTGCTCAAACGCACCTGCTGTATCAAGAAAGCCTGTGTTTGTGAAAAAGTGTAAAATCATTGTCCAAGCATTAAATTTGCCACTCAGACACTTTATTCCTTCTGTCTCCACCCCAAATAAATTCCATTAAATTCAATAATTACGCTTAATCCAAGGGGGGAAAAATGTATTGGGCACCAAAATAGTTATTGGACATGCAAAAGTGAATGAGAAAAGTCCATCCTCAAATCTCTCTCTTGTTAATAGAGGAATTCTAGACCTGAGCAAATAAGGCAGTGGGCAACCTGGATGCCATCTGTCAGCTGAGATTCCTCCCGAGTTGTGCCCATTGCTAGTAATGTCACCACGTGAGCACTTTCTATATGCAAGGCATTGACTGCTTATTTCAAGCCCTCATCGTTTTTCACAGAGACGATTTCAATAGCCCGCACCCTGGTCTCCTTTGCTACTGTCCAATCCCTTCCCCCCAACGGCCATTAGAATGAGCCTTCTCAAACACGTATAATCATGTCACCGCTATTTAGACCCTGACTAGATTTCTTTGTCCCCGATACAAGGTCTAAATTCCTTGACAGGCAGTGGAAAGCTTTTTATTTTTGTAACTTAATTTATTTTGAAGCATAGTTGATTTACAGTGTTGCGTTAGTTTCAGCTGAGCAGCAAAGTGAATCACATATACATATACATATACCTATATTTGGGATTCCTTGATGGCTCAGACAGTAAAGAGTCTGCCTGCAGTGTGCGAGACCCAGGTTCAATCCCTGGGTTGGGAAGATCTCCAGGTTGGTATTCTGGCCTGGAGAAGTCCATGGACAGAGGAGCCTGGTGAGCCACAGTCCATGGGGTTGCAAAGAGTCAGACGTGACTGAGTGACTAACACACACCCACATAGATATATTCACTCTTTTCTAGGTTCTAGTCTCATATACCATGGGCTGCCCTGGTAGCTCAGATGGTAAAGAATCTGCCTGCAATGTAGAAGACCTGGGTTCAATCCCCGGATCAGGAAGATCCCCTGGAGAAGGAAATGGCAACCCACTCCAGTATTCTTGCCTGGAGAATCCCATGGACAGAGGGGCCTGGTGGGCTACAGTCCGTGGGGTCACAAAGAGTCGGACACGACTGAGCACACATTCGCATGTAGGTAATTACAGAGTACGGAGCAGAGTTCCCTGTTCTGTACAGGAGGAGACTTATTAGTTTTTAGTTATTATTAGTTACTGTAGTTAGCTATCTATTAGTTATCTATCTGTTATAGGTTAGTTATCTTATTAGTTATCTATTTTATGCTTCGTAGTACGTATATGTCAATCTCAATCATGCAATTTATCCCTCCCCACCCCGTTTCCCTCTCTGTAGCCATAAGCTTGTTTTCAACATCTGTTGACTCTTTCTGTTTTGTAAATAGGTCCATTTGTATCATTTTTTAAAGATCCCACATATAAGTGATACCATATGATACTGGTCTTTCTCTGACTTATTTCACTGAGTATGACAATCTCTAGTTGCATTCATGTGGCTGCAAACAGCACTATTTTGTTCTTTATATGGCTGGCTAATATTCCACTCTGGATCTCTCTATACCACATTTTCTTTGCCCGTTCCTTTGTCAGTGAACACCTAGGTTGCTTCCATGGCCTGGCTGTTGTAAAGCAAAGCTGTTTCTGATTTTAGCTTTGCCACCCACTTTCTGTGCCCGCTAAATACTCCAGCCAAGAGAATAGGAGCACAGTCATGATTCCACCCACCAAGCCTTCTCCAAGTCTCTCTACTGGAATTCCATCCTCCCCTCATTGATCTAGGAAAGCCCAACTCTTGACTCAGAACTGAGGGCTTTCTCTTACAGGAAGCCTCTCTCTGCCATCACGTGCCCAGTTAACACACCCACTACTGTACTGTCTATAGTAATTGCTACTTCTATTATGAGGAAGTAGATCCGAGGAACAGTGATGGCAGGATGCCCCTAACATGAAGAGAGAACAGAGGAGGACCATTTATCTACGGTTGGTCCTGGTTTTTGGGAACACATCACGGAAGAGGTAGAATTCCAAAGCATTTCACAGGAAGAACTGGATGCCTTGAGGTCACCATGCTCTGAATTCCCAGCTGTCACCAAGGAGAAGGTCAGTATTGAAGGCTGTCAAGTAGCAAGAAGGCAAAGTTCATTGAATAAAATCAGGGCAGATAGATGGTGGTAGCTTTTGTTCTCCAGGTCGGTCTGCTGGCTGTTGGCTCCTCTGGCCATGGGCCAGGTGCCCCTGAGCAGGTGACATTTTAAGAGATCTGGCACCAGCAGCGAGTGTGGGTGAATTTGACATTTACGAAGACTCTTTCCCTGCACAAAAGTGAAGTTCCAGCCATCAGGGAGGGGACCGTGGGCTGCAGACATTATCATTTTACTGGCAGAGACATCTTCTGTTGCCATCGGAAAACAAACATCCACCTTATGACTTTGCTTCCGGCAGCCCTGGGTCTCTCACTGAACAGCGCTTTCTGGGATGTTTTTCTCTAAGGAACCAGAAGCAGGTCCCTTGACCCCTGACTTGACCAGTCAGAGGCAAAGAAAACAAAGAAGCCCCCATCCTCGTCCGCTCACTCTGCATCTTCTGAGCCTCTGTAAGGTTACAGAACCATCTCCTGTTTGTCGTTGTTCAGTTGCGAAATCGCGTCTGACTCTTTGCAACCCCGTGGACCTAAGCATGCCAAGATTCCCCGTCTTTCATTATGTCCTATTTGGTCCTTTCTAACTCCATAAAGAAGGCTGAGCACTGAAGAATTGACGCTTTTGAACTGTGGTGCTGGAGAAGACTTTTGAGAGTCCCTTGGACTGCCAGGAGATCAAATAAGTCAGTTCTGAAGGAAATCAACTTTGAATATTCCTTGGAGGGACTATTGCTGAAGCTGAAGCTCCAATACTTTGGCCACCTGATGTGAAGAGCTGACTCACTGGAAAAGACCCTGATGCCGGGAAAGATTGAAGGCAGGAGGAGAAGCAGGTGGAAGAGGATGAGATGGTTAAATAGCATTGCTGACTCAATGGACACGAATTTGAGCAAACCCCGGGAGATAGTGAAGGACAGAGAAGCCTGGAGTGCCACAGTCCATGGGGTCACAAGGAGTCAGACAGGACTCAGCAGCTGAACAACAGCAACAACTTTAAGCGTATCAACTAATTCCTTATTCCCAGGGAGACAATTCTCTGCTTCCGCAATTCTTATTTCAATCTTACTGCAACCCATTTTCTCCTCCACTTTTTAAATCTCCACCCCATACCTCTTACTCCAGCCTCTCAATCTAGTTTAAATGAGCACTTACTCTGTTGGGTTTTAGATATTTTGAACATGTATGGATGGTAATTGTATCTTCTGCCCCTAAATGCATCTTTTTAAGACTTCAATTCAGTTCAGTTCAGTCACTCAGTCATGTCCTACTCTTTGCGACCCCATGAACCGCAGCATGCCAGGCTTCCCTGTCCATCACCAACTCCTGGAGTTTACCCAAACTCGTGTCCATTGAGTCGCTGATGCCATCCAACCATCTCATCCTCTGTCATCCCCTTGTCCTCCTGCCCTCAATCTTTCCCAGTATCAGGGTCTTTTCAAATGAGTTAGGTTTTTGTTAAGGTCAACTCTTCTAGTCTCTCCTTTTATGTTCAGTGCTTCCCCCCCTTTTAGAATATGGATCTGCTTGAAGGGTTATTAATTCCCTGCCACTGAGGGTGGATTAGGCCACCTGTCCTGAATCCTCACCTGATAGTGATGTTAACAGCAGCTGCCACTGACCGTGGGTTCCATACTGGCCAGACACTGGAGGTGGCCCCTGAGCTGAATCCATGATCTCGTTCATTGTGACAATGAGTCCGAACATTCCATATCACTGCTGTCCCCAGCGTGCAGGTGGGAGAACGAGGCTCAGAGGGGCTACACAGCAGGTGGCAGATCAGACAGACACTGAGTTTCCAAACCTACCTGCCTCTGAAGCCAAAGTTCAGACTCGCATGCCGCCTTATATCCTGAGCTTTTGTTGAGGTCTGTTTTAATTTCTCCTTCTTAAGAAAATGATGATAAATAAAGACAGAGGATGAGATCTGAGAAACAAACATCCTGGACACCCTGAAATTGTCCTCTCCCCTTATTAAGGGCCTCCCAGCAGGAGTGAAATTCAGTTTCCTTAGCTAAACCCATTTGAATTCATTTCCAGGAGCTAAAATTTGACAAGCGGCTTTAACAACGCACTGCGGTGGAGGCCGGGTCTGTAGCCGCCGGCATGCCTGCCACGGTCTAATTTTGTTTCTCTCCCGTTTGCCTGGTGTGATTTGTCCTTTAGAAACCAGCCTCATCTGGGAATAGTGTGCGTTTGTTAATTACCTTTACAGAGCCAGCAGATGGTGCAGGAAGCACTGTATTGTCTGTGGACCCAAGCCAAAACAGAGAGAGAGAGGCATCTGTTTATTTGTTTAATTTCTTTGCAAGGAAATGGTGGGTATAAAAATAAAACCGGTCATCACTAGGCATTTCAAAACAAGAAACACTTTTGGTGTCGCATAATAATGGTTTAAAATAAAATTCCCTTTTATTTCCCAAAGCCTTTGCAATTCAAAGAAGCCAAGGAACCAGGAACTGGCCGTGCTGGACTCAGAGAAGGATCCATTATGTGTGGGTGCTAAATCATTTCAGTCGTGTCCCATTCTCTGCAACCCTATGGCCTGTAGCCTTCCAGACTCCTCTGTCCATGGGATTCTCTAGGCAAGAATATTAGAGTGGGTTGCCATGCCCTCCTCCAGGGGATTTTCCTGACCCAGGGATCAAACCTGCATCTTTTAGGTCTTCTACATTGGCAGAGGGGTTCTTTGCCATACCTAGGAAGCATTAGCCAGTCTTAGATGCTGGCCACACTTACCTGTTGAGGAAAAGAGGTTTCATCTCGCTGCACTCCATAGGATTGTCTCTGCTCAAGGTCATCAAACCTTGAATTTGTGAAATCCAGTGGTCACTTCATTGGCCTGACCTTTCTCAGCACAGCTAACCACTACCTTCTTCTTCAGATGCACTATTTTCTTAGGGTGCATATGCCGCTCTCAAGTGTTCTCCTTCCTTCCTCGGGGCCCCGTCTTGGCTCAGCTTCTCTGCCGTGTCTCTAAACAGTGGCGACCACAAGCCTCCCTTCCTTGACTTCTTCCTCATCATCCAAATTCTTCCCAGGGCTTAAAACATCATCTTCGAACCATCAGCTTCCAACTGTCTCTCTTAAGCACTGATCTTTGCCTTCACATTTGCATGCATTGATCCAACAACTTACCATTTAAAAACCAAACAGATTTCTGGAGCACAGAGTCAGATAAATGGAAATCTTCCAGTCATGACTCACTGTCAGAGTCAATTCATACAACGAAAACCCATGAGCCAAGGGCATCTCCAGAACTAGAACTTTCTACACATTTATGTGGTTTTCACCTGCTATTTTCCTGGTCCTTCTCACCCTAAAATAACCATCGTTCTGTGTATTATTTTGTCATTTCCTTGTCATTGTTTTTTTTTTTTTAAGACACAGTTTTATCACATATGTATGTATGTATGCCTAAAAGAGATATCTTTTGTTTTCAGTGGTTATTTGAATTGCATTGAAAAGGCATGCTGTATGTCATTAGGTCACTAAGGTCCACTTCTCTCATACTCTGTAGCCTTAGCCAATCTTTTTCACTGCTGTACAGATTCTTCACCATCTGAGTCACTAGAGAAGCCCAAGAATACCTGAGTGGGTAGCCTATCCCTTCTCCAGGGGATCTTCCCAACCCAGGAATTGAACCAGGGTCTCCTGCATTGCAAACAGATTCTTTACCAGCTGAGCTACCAGAGAATCCCTCCAAATATACCACCACATTTGTATCCACTTTCCTGTCCGTAGGCATTTGGGTTGTCTCTGGATTGCTATTAAAACTAGCATCGTTATGAGCATCTTGTCACATCTGCTGACACATACGTTAGAGATGCATATAGGGGTGTACCTAGGAGTGAACTCCTCATTCATTCAGTTCAATTCAGTCACTCAGTCATGTCCGACTCTTTGCGACCCCATGGACTGCAGTGTGCCAGGCTTCCCTGCCCATCACCAGCTCCCAGAATTTGCAAAAACTCATGTCCATTGAGTCAGTGATGCCATCCATCCATCTCATCCCCTGTCATCCCCTTCTCCTCTTGCTCTCAGTCTTTCCCAGCAACAGGGTCTTTTCTAGGGAGTCAGTTCTTCGCATCAGGTAGCCAAAGTTTTGGGGTTTCAGCTTCAGCATTAGTCCTTCCAATGAATATTCAGAACTGATTTCCTTAAGGATGGACTGGTTAGATCTCTTTGCAGTCCAAGGGACTCTCAGAGCCTTTTCCAACACCACAGTTCAAAAGCATCAATTCTTTGGCTTTCAGCTTTCTTTATAGATAATAAATGTTCAACTTTAAATATTGATGCCAAACTGTCTTATACAATGATGATACCAGTACACATTCCAACTAGCAGTGTACAATATGCGTTCTTTTTGTTCCACATTCTGATCAACACTTGATATTGTTAGACTTTTAAATTTCTGTCAATTTCTGTCAATTACCTGAACATAAAATTCAATCTCATCAAGATCTTGATTTGCATTTCACTGATTTTGCATTTTGAGCGGCTCTTCTTAAGTTTATTGCATGTTTTTTTGGTTAGTAGTATGTCTTTCCATGTCTTTTGCTCAGTTTTTCTATTGATTTATTATATTGTTGCACTGTAAGAGTTCTTAAATGTTTTGATATTTGTGTCTTTTTATACTAACCCTTTGCCTGGTGTGTATAGTATGTATATATTCTAGTTTATAGCTTGATTCTTTTCTTTAATATGTCTTTTTTGATTAACAAAATTTCTTAATTATAATATTCTTAAATTTGTCAGTCTATTATACTTAGTCCTTTTTATCTTTATTTTTTTCCCCTATCCTAAAATGAGAAAGATACTTTTCACTACATTACAGAAGAGTTTGAAAGTTTTTACAATGACCCTTGGGTCTCTCATTCATCCGAAATTCATTTTTGGTGTGGTGTCAGGCAGTGATCCAATTTCACTTTTTTCCTCCCATGATGAGTGACCATTTTATCACCACCTTTTGGTAAATAGCATCTCATCTCCCCACTGATCTGTCAAACCACCTGCATCCATATATTAGATTCTATATAAACATACCTTAGTTTCTGGGGTCTCTAGTCTATTACAATGGTAGGAATAAATTTTATCATTTTGTCCATCCAACACTTTTCCTTTCATCTCTTTTTAGAGATTTCCCACTCTCTCTCTGTTGGCCTTCCTACAGATGTGGACAGATGACCCAGGCAGGCCAGCAAGCATTCTCCATCTCCTGAGCAAGGTGATTAGTTTAAAATTGGTCATCTGATTAATTAAAAAGTTAAGAAAAGAGAAAGCATCTCAATGTGAGCAGAGGCAGCTGCTTGATGATAACCTTTGAGCACCTGGATCCAGCTATGCCTGAAGCAGGTTACCCTTTGCACTTCCCAGTTACACAGGCCAATGAATGCTCCTTGATAAACTTAAGGAGGGTTTTTACCTCTTGTAATTAACAAAGACACATGGCCACAGCCTCATCTACCTGCAGGTGAATCAAGAGAGTCTATGGGCAGAGTCAGTTTTCTTTTTTCAAACACTGTCTCTCCCTCTATGTGTGTATGTTAGTCACTAGTCATGTCCGATATTTTGTGACCCCATGGACTGTAGCCCACCAGGCTCCTCTGTCCATGGAATTCTCCAGGCAAGAATACTGGAGTGGGGAGCCATGCCCTTCTCCAGGGGATTTTCCTCACCCAGAGATCAAACCTGGGTCTCCTGCATTGCAAGCAGATTCTTTACCATCTGAACCACCAGGAAAACCCATATTTCTCTCTCTGCTCCAACCCAAAGACAAACAGAAGAGAGATTAAGTTCAAAAAGCTCTGAGCAACACTTTTAGGACCTTAATTAAAGCGTAGAACTCATTATTTAGGTAAATTCGATACAGAAATCCCTTATAAAGAACATATAAAAGTGATATCGCTGTGATTGAGAAAAGGCTGAGGATGCATACAGACCTCCTTATGCTGGCCTAAGAGCCATCCATTTCCATAGATTATGAATGTGATCATTATAGCCTGGAGAATTTCCCTAGCAGGTCTTACTAGACCATAAAAAAAACAAACCACGAAAAAAAAAAGGGATCTTGGTTTTAGAGTGGGTGACTTTAGGCTATTCAGTCTGGAAATAACAGATAACAGGGCAGTTATCTTTGGAGGCCGTTCTTAATCCCTGGCAGTAACAGATGTCATCAGCATGGGGAGAATGCTGACTTTTCCGTCCTCTGGAGCAGCGGGAGAGGAGGCAGAGAGGCTTTTTGCTAGACGGAGAATCATTGTGGATCCAGCTGGGGAACCTGGGAATAGCTGCCTCGAATTTCTTCCTCCCTCCAATCTGCCTTCAAATTTATGACCCTCCCTGCTCCTGCCTCCATTGCCTCAGCACCTAAACAGTCTCCTAGAAGGAGGTGCAAATCAGCCTGTCTTTGCACTTCTGTTTGAAGTCAGATCTCTCCAGGGGAACCCACTTATCAGCTGGAATCCCACAGCCCATTGAAATCTTGGTGCATGGGTGTATGCTAAGTCATTTCACTCATGTCCGACTCTTTTATGACTCCATAGACTGTAGCCTACCAGGCTCTTCTTTCCCTGGGATACTCCAGGCAAGAATATTGGAGTGGGGTGCCACTTCTTCCTCCAGGGGATCTTCCTCACCCAGGGATCGAGCCCACCTCTCTTATACCTCCTGCATTGGCAGGCGGGTTCTTTACCACTAGCACCACCTGGGAAGCCCTGAAATCTTGGTAGCCTGATTCAAATCCCATAATTCCATGGTCGGTGGGATTCCAAAGTCCTCCCCCACATTTATTTCTTTCTGAAACACTTAAATTATGCCAGGATCCTCTGCCTGGGGGAAAATATGGAAGGTTTATGGGAAAATAAGAAGGAGAAACAAACCTGACAGGGAGGTTTATAATAGGGTAAATGATAGGGTAAATGATAATAAGGTAAATGATAGAATCAAAATTCTACATGATCTTGAAAGATAAAGCCAAGGTAAAATTGGCATTATGAAATTGGACAGGGAGAAATGCAAGATTCTCCATTTCAAGTTTTTTTTCTTTTTTTTAAGTTAAGGATAGAATGAATGAATGAATGATATATATGTATGAATGTTGTGGGGCTTCCCAGGTAGCTCTAGTGGTAAAATAAATTCACCTGCCAATGCGGGAGACATGGGTTCAATCCTTTTATCAGGAAGATCCTCTGGTTGAATAAAAAATGGCAACCCACTCCAGTATTCTTGCTGGGAGAATCCCATGGGCAGAGGAGCCAGGCAGGCTCAGTTCAGTTCAGTTCAGTCGCTCAGTCATGTCCAACTCTTTGGACTCCATGAACTGCAGCATGCCAGGCTACCAGTAAACTCAAGGAGTTTACTCAAACTCATGTCCATTGAGTCAGTGATGCCATCCAACCATCTCATCTTCCCTCGCCCCCTTCTCCTCCTGCCTTCAATCTTTCCCAGCATCAGGGTCTTTTCAAATGAGTCAGCTCTTCGCATCAGGTGGCCAAAGTATTGGAGTTTCAGCTTCAACATCAATCCTTCCAATGAACACTCAGGACTGATCTCCTTCAGGATGGACTGGTTGAATCTCCTTGAACTTCAAGCGACTCTCAAGAGACTTCTCCAACACCACAATTCAAAAGCATCAATTCTTCTGTGCTCAGCTTTCTTTATAGTCCAACTCTCACATCCGTATATGACTACCGGAAAAACCATAGCCTTGACTAGATGGATCTTTGTTGGCAAAGTAATGTCTCTGCTTTTTAATATGCTGTCTAGGTTGGTCAAAACTTTCCTTCCAAGGAGTAAACATCTTTTAATTTCATGGCTGCAGTCACCATCTGCAGGATTTTGGAGCCCCCAAAAACCAGCCACTGTTTCCACTGTTTCCCCATCTATTTGCCATGAAGTGATGGGACTGGATGCCATGATCTTAGTTTCCTGAATGTTGAGCTTTAAGTCAACTTTTTCACTCTTCTCTTTCATTTTCATCAAGAGGTTCTTTAGTACTTCTGTAGCCTGGCAGGCTACAGTCCATGAAATTTCAAAAGAGTTGGACATAACTGAGCATCTGAGCAGAGTACAGCACATGGATGATGTAGCTATGCTTAAAAATAAGAGACGGAAATCTCTTTGCAAGGAGGAAGCCAGTATAGAGTATAATTCAGCCCGTCTCTAGGCCCTGTGGAGCCCCTACAGGATCAAACCCATAGGAGCAACCCCCAATCCAGGGTACAGGCTGGGGCAAATGGAAGCTCCTATATTTTGGTTCAAAAAACTCAACTGGGAACAAAACTTTTAAGAGATTCAAGACCAATTGACTACAGATCATGCTTTCCACCATCTATAGGTAAGAGTCAAAATACCTTAATACAGCATATGAGCCTCTGTGACTCTGTTCCGTTTACTTTCCATTGTTTATCATGCAAAAAAACCAAGCTTGCAACAAATCAGCTATTTTGAAAACTAACGAAATAGGCGATAGAACTCGGTGTGTACATTTCCAGGTCAAAGGACGTGATCTTTGTGCTTTACTTTGCACAGATTAAACCTTATCTGGAGTTTGCTCCGTGTCCAAACCCAGGGCTTATGTTTCCAAAAAGACAATGACAAGATGGGGAAATAATCCAGCATGAGGAGCTCAGCAGCAAATGAAAAGGTAAGTCTTGTGTGGATCTATTTTGCTCAGAGAAATCTTCCAACCCCCTTGATGGCTATTTTCAAATGTTTGTAAGGTAACCGTAGATGATAGAGCAGGCATGTTTCAGGAAAAAAGCTTAGCGCCAATGTGTGAACCTTGCAGGAAGTCAGACCCAACTCTGTATAAGCACTAGCCCTGACAGGAATTGACTGTTGGGAACAACAGCAAGCCTTCTCTAGCGGGGAGTGTCCATCTACCGAAAACATGCTGTTGTGGGAGACGTGACTCTGTGCATGGAAGAGTCTAACTTACCTGAAATGTACTCCTCTCTTTGCGAGCATCACCATCAGCAGGTGCTAGGATTTCCTAGAGATGTCCAGAAGTCTTGAAAAGAACAGGAATTGTCAAGAATGGAGAAATAAGAGAGAGGAGAATGAGGAAGATGGGATTAACATTAGAGAAACTCTGAAATCTGTTAACTGGGCTTTCTAGAAACTATTTCCTCTTTCTTGCCCAGTGACATACTTCCCCCATCCTCCATGCTATTGTCTTTTACCATTTTCAGGATACTCCTTAATTAAAGGGTTAGCAATAATTCACACTAACATGTAAATGACTTAGAGAAATCCACAGTCTTTTCTGCCTAGAGCCATTGGTTATCAGTAAGTGATAAATGCTAAGTAATAAACTATAGAAAGTATAGTCATTAGCAATTTGCAAGGGAGAAATCAAGGATTATGTTTGCGGGTACATATGCCAAGGGTTGATAACAAATAACAGAAATGTCCTTTAACTTCAGCACAAAATGAATCTGTTTGAAGAACACTGGGGAAGCTTTCAGAAATGAGGATGAGTCACCGCACCTTAGGGGAGATATGAACCAGGGAGGCCCTGAGGGCCTGGGGAGTAGAACAGGTGAACCTTCTCTCCCCTGACTGCTGCCAGAAAACTTTGCTCTAACTGCTGCCCTGGCCATCATATGTGTGTCTAACTTAACATTCAGATTCTAAAAAGACAGGGAATGACGGCGGATCTTGGGTCTTGTGACCACCTTGGAGGCTAAGAGAAAAAGTTTTCATGCCAGCTGGTGCAGGTGGAAGCATAAAGGAAAGGCAATCAGTGCGAAAGGTTGAAGGCAAAAGGAGAAGAGGGCCGCAGAGGATGAGATGGTTAGATAACATCACCAATGCAATGGACAGGAATTGTAGCAAACTCCAGGAGATAGCAAAGGGCAGGGAAGCCTGGTGAGCTTGGAGTTGCAAAGAGTCAGACATACTTAGAGACTGAACAAGAAGAAAAAGACAGCTGGATGTAGGAAAATGTGTGAAAGACGGACGGAGGGTCTTCTGAGCAACCTAAAATCACTTCCCACAAAGTCTTGAGAGTTGTCTCACATCACCAACAAGTCCAGTTACTGTCACCACGATGCTCCCAATACTTGAGTGTCTCCCAGGTTCCAACGGGAGAAGTCCAAGTTCTGTAACAAGTATCCATGACCCATGAAGCCTTGCTCTTGACTACTTTATTACAGTGGGAAAAGTTTTTCTTTTTTCTCTTGCCCTTTGCTGGGTTCTTTTTTACTTTAACCATTCCTAGTCTGTAGTCTGTAACTAATCTTTTTTTATTTTAACTGTTCCGAATCTGTAGTTTGTTTTTCGAGAAACTAACCTGACATGTAAATTACATCCTACACCCATCGCCCCCTAACTCTGCATGAGCTGCATTCTGTGCTCACGTGCACGTGTGTGTGTGTATGCTCAGTGGTGTCCGACTCTTTGCGACCCCGTGGACTGTAGCCTGCCAGGCTCCTCCTCCTCCTGGAATCTTCCATGCAAGAATACTGGAATGGGTTGCCATTTCCTTCTCCAGGGGATCTTTCCAACCCAGGGATTGAAACTGCGTCTCTTGAGTCTCCTACGTCAGCAGGCGAATTCTTTACCCCTGCCCCACCTGTATATTATCCTTTAACTCTTTTTCATCACATCTTGTATCTGGAGATCACCTTTACAGCTCTCTGTTTGCAGACCACCTCTTGTAGTTTTTCTCTTTTTGCATTTCAGAAAGAAAGCCGCAGTGCAATAAACAGGAGACAATGGACCCAACAACCGGGCTACCAGACGCCAGCCTATGACTGTGTTTGAAACAATGCAAGAGGAAGAAGAATACAAGGTGCTTACAGCTTTGTCCCGTATCGCCTGCCTCTGATTGTGCACCCTCCTCTATATGATCCTCCAGATTCCTCATGGAAGGCGGGGCACAGATCTAGGGGCATGAGCCTACTGTGTCTTTCTTCCACTGGCTGAAGATTAAAGCCACCTTTCTATTTCCTCCCAACTCTGTCTCCATAATTTTGTATTTGACTTCGGTGGGCAGAGAAAGCCAAGATTTTGGCGATAGCGACTTCACTGGCTGAACGACCGCTGGGTCACATTTCTGGCTGATGCCCAGCCACCATGCACCCTGGCATTCCTGGTCCTAACACCCATTCTCCATGCAGCCCCCTTCCCACTCCTGCCAGCTTTGAGGTTTCCTGTTCGCCCTCCTAGATGATGGAACAACTTGATGGGATGCATCCACAAAGCTCCTGCTCAGTTTGGTGTCTCCATCAACTCGGGTTTTACTTTTGAGGTTTACAGTTTTGTCAAATGTGTTTCCCATGAGTCACCTCATATTTCTGGTAGCACAAGGCAGGATCTAAACAGATATGGTCCTTGGGAGCATCAGAGTCGGGGCAGAAGTAAGAGTGAGGTGCAAAACCATAATCTTTCCCTTTCCTTCTCTCTACTTCCAAGTCAGAGTAAATAGAGCTTCATATTGCCTGCTGCATAGTAGGTGCTCAATAAACACTCACTTGAAGAGCTACCAAGGGCAGAGGGCTTTTACTCCTCATGACCAATGATCGGGCCCAGATCCAGGTCTCATGAAGCCTGAGGCTTACTCAGTTTGCCTGGCCCACGTGGGAAAAGAATACAAATTCTTATTTTGGAAGTTTTCAAAAAGACAGATGGCAGGAGGAGTGCCTTGAAGTAGACTCCTGTAAGAGAGAGACCTGAGGCACAAATGGTAAATCTCCTGGTAAATCTCCTCTGCTCACACCCACCCATGCCGTTTCACAGAAGAGAGCCAGGTAAGGAGAAGGGTCAGCCTTCATGAAGTCTTTTTTTTTTTTTAATTTAATTTACTTTTTATTGGGGTATAGATGTCTTGGGCTTCCCAGGTGGCTCAGTGGTAAAGAATCTACCTGCAATGCAGGAGATGCAGGTTTGATCCTCAGGTCGGAAAGATGCCCTAAGAGAAGGAAATGCTTGCCTGGGAAATCTCGCAGACAAAAGAGCCTGGCGATCTATAGTCCATGGGATTACAAAGTTCAGTTCAGTTCAGTTCAGTCGCTCAGTCATGTCCAACTCTTTGCGACCCCATGAACTGCAGCATGCCAGGCCTCCCTGTCCATCACCAACTCCTGGAGCCGACCCAACTCAAGAGTTGGGTCTATCTTAGCTACCGCTACCAACAACATTATAGGTGCCTTACAAAGTGGTGTTAGTTTCTGCTGTATAAGAATATGCATCTCCCCTCCCTCTTGGATGTCCCTCTCAGCCTCCCAACCCCCATCCCATCCACCCAGGTCATCACAGAGCACCGAGCTGAGCTGCCAGAGCGATACGGCTGTTTCCCACTATTGTCGGTTTCACACATGGGAGGGCACGTACGTTAATCCCAACCTCCCAGGTCATCCCTCCTCTTTACCCCCTGACCCTGTGTCCACATGGGCATTCTCTACACCAGTGCCTCTATTCCTGCCCTGAAAATAGGTTCATCTGTACCATCCTCCTAGCTTCCACACACACGTGTCAATATATGATATTGGTTTTTCTCTTTCTGACTTACTTCACTCTGTGTTGCAGACTTTAGGTTCAGCTGTGTAATTACCGATGGCTCAGTTTCATTCCTTTTTATGGCTTAGTAATATCCCATTGTATATAGGTATGTACCGATGAAAGCTACATGTAATCATAGGATAGTTTTTTCAAAAAAAGCACACTTAAGGAATTCCTGGAGTATTTTTAACTTATTTTTCTCACACAATTTGAAATCGCTGTTAAACTGTCTATATAAAACAACACACACATATACGTGCCTTACAGATTACATTTTAACTCATTGATGACTGAGGCCATCAATGAGATACTTTAAGTTGCCAGATTATCTAACTTTGGGGAAGGCTGTAGTAAATCTTTCTTGATAGCTTAAAATGTGAGTCTTTGAATATTTTTGGAATGTAGCATCGGTCTGGAAAGGCTCTGGTTTTCTGTTTGTTTCTTTTCTTTCTTTTCTCCCCTCTAAATTCGGGCTCAATCGGGGCCCTCTCATGTAACATTGCATGCATAGGAACCCTTCTAGAGTACTTCTTCAGTGCACAACTAAGTGCTGGGGGAGGGAAGCTGAGCTGTTGGACCTGGTGTTATGACAACAATCCCAACAGGGAATTTCTCAGATGACTGTCCATTTTAAGAGCTATTGATGTGAATCAGACATTGAAGATAAAGAGTGTGGAGTCACAGTCAAGCTTTTTTAAAACATATTTTTTTATGTCGAACATTTTTAATGGCTTTATTGAATTTGTTACAGTATTGCTTTTGTTTTATGGTTTTTTGGCCATGAGACATGTGGGATCTTAGTTCCTCCCGACCAGGGATCCAACCTGCACCCCCCAGCATTGGAAGGTGAAGTCTTAACCACTGGATGAAATCCCATAGCCAAGTATTAGTAACAGTGCAGTTTTGTAATATGTGCACTAGTTTTACTGAAGACCAAAGATGTTGACACTCCAAGATGAGCTCCTATCACATCCATACATGACTACTGGAAAAACCATAATTTTTTGTTTTCTGTCAAACCTCAACATGAATTAGCCATAGGTATACATATATCGCCTCCCTTTGGAACCTCTTTCCCATCTCCCTCCCAGTCCCACCCCTCTAGATTGATGCAGAGACCATTTGAGTTTCCTGAGCCCTACATCAAATTCCCACTGAGTGTCTATTTACATACGGTAATGTAAGTTACCATGTTACTCTTTCCATACATCTCACCCTCTCCTCCCCTTTCCCTGTGTCCATAAGTGATTTCATTGTGTTTTAAACATAGGTTCTGAATTTAAACAAATAGACATTATGTCAGCATGCCACTTTGAGTTTTCAGTATAATTTTCATTTTTGCATTCTATGTACGATTTTATTTGAAAATGAGCCTTCACTGCTGAAAAAAAAAAATAGTGTGTTAGCAGGGAGAATGTGGAGTTTAGAGGTAGGTGGTTCTCCGGTTCAAATTCAAGTGATGTCCAGTACTGAGTGGACCCCATAGCTGGCATTTCACAATTGCTTGCCGGACACAGTCCAGTCATTAAGAGTGCTGCCTACAGATACAGCCTGAGACCCTTGAGGTTCTTAGTGTTTTCTTTTTTCTTTCAGGAAACATCTCACGTGAGGAAGGTGCGCTCTGCATGTCAGTATGGTAACTGTTCAAAGCCCAAGAAGAACCTGGAAGATAAGGGACATTCGAGAAAAAAAAAAAAAGTGCTAGGTAATCGGATCAGCCTGGCTCTGAGCCCAAGTGAATTCAGTAATTGAAGAGTTTTGTTTCTCCAAGAAGCCCTCGAGACAATGCAGGCCTTATGCTGAATCCACTGCCCAGACCTTACCTCCCAGCACTGCCCTGGCCCCAGCTTTGGGGACCTCCCGTAATCTCCTCCTGTGGACAAATGAACAAAGGCCAGTCTATTTCCCTCCGCCCCGGAGATGCCATCAGGGGAAAACAGAGCATGTTTTCTTCAAAGTCCAAAACACTCAGTTTTTGGCCAGGAGGACAAACTTGTTGAACTGGGGGAGAGGGGGCTCCGATCGGAGGCTGGGAGGCGTTGGCAGGTTTCCTGACTTCGGGTGGAGTGTGCTGGGCTCCGGGTGAGAGCCTTGGTGGGAGCTGGACTGCAGGAGGAAGAAGGGGAGCTTGCCAGAACTGGCTGGCTCCAACCTCGCATTCTTGGCAAGGAGAGAGAGTCCTCGGAGGGGGAGGTCTCCAGAAGCTGCAGGGAGGTTGCCTTTCCTCTGCCTGTGTGTTTGCAGAACCGTAAAGGCAATCACATGCTTTATTAGACGTTAAGCCAGAGTTGACGCTCGGCAAAAATAAGCAAAGCCAAGGAACAAAACCCAAACGTCTCAATTAGGTCATCAGAAAGATGTCTCCTTGGTATCAACAATCAAAGTTCCTATTCATGTTTCACTGGCAGACATGAAATCTGCCTTGTTTCAGAGCTGGGGTGGTCTCCTATGCGGTCTCTCTGACCCTCGGATCATTTCTTTTTTTCATTTTTAAATTGGAGGATAATTGCTTTGTAGTCTTGTGTTGGTTTCGGCCATACAGCAATGAGAATCAGCTGTAACTATATCCTCCCCTCTCTCTTGAGCCCCCCACCCCCGCCCCCCGCTCCCAATCCATCCCTCTAGGTGATCACCGAGCTGGGCTCCCTATGGTAAAGCAGCTTCCCACTAGCCATCTATTCTACATATGGCAGTGTATACCTGTCAGGGCGTTTGTCTGCTTTGCACATGGCAGGCAGAGTGGCCACCTTAGGTAGCATCTTGAAGGTGCCTTTTCTTGGCATTAACTTTCTGTTTCTCCCCACTGTCTATGAAATAAACTTCAACTCATCCCTGTCACTCAAAGCCTTCCACAATCTGTCCCTAAAGGATTTGTTTAATCTTAGTTTTACTGTAAACGATCTATCCCCTGATCAGTTTCACATTGTTTCCCATTCATGTTCTTTACTCCACGTCTTTCTTCCTGATGTTCACACACTCCCCCCCAACCTTTCCAAGTTCTACCTACTCTAAAATACAAGCCTCAGACACTGCACATTCTGTAAAAGCTCCCTGAGAAATAGTCATTAAGAAAATCAGACTTACTCTAGACTTGCCCTTTCATCCACTAGTGCTATGGTTTGGGACTAGAACAGCAACTTCTCTGAACCTCAATTTTCTCAGCTATAAAATGAGGAAAACTTACAGGGAGTGTAAAATTTTGCAGAGAAAATCACAGAGTTCTTAGCACATGCTTACCTAGCATATAGTGTTTAAAACTCCATTTTTGAATTTACAATTAGGCTTACCCTGTTCTATCTTATTTATGATAAGGAGAAATGTACTCCTATTGTTTCATTCTGCATTTGAAAGAATTCCTGCAAGGGAAAAGAAAGCCTGTGAAAAAACTCATGAAATCAGTAGACAACTTCACAATTACAAGCTTATCATCACCTGCCTCTCTGCATTATTTCACATATGGAATCCTGGTGGTAAGTCTAATTTACCAAAGACATTTTAACTAACCATTATATCTTACCTGCTTCCCAAAGGAGCAGTAAAATCAGCATTTGCAATAGTGTAGACATTGTATTCTCTGCTCAGGTTTCCAGAACATAGAGCTATCATCTCATATTTACAGGGGACTTCAGTTTTCAAACACTGTCTTATTTGGTCACCAAAACAATCCTGGAAGTTAGGAATACTCAGCATTTTCTCACAAAGGAAGGAAGAAGGACTCATAATGACAAAGTGAGGCCACCAGGCTAATGTCACGGTCAGTGCAGAAGCAAGTCACGTGGGCACAGGGTAGAGACCCAATAAGATTTCATAAAGCAAATGAATGAATGAATGAACAAACAGACAAGTGAGCAAAGTAACCTGCCTTCCTCTTCGGCCGAGACATACAATTCTTCAGGAGTGATGGGGGGATAATGCTCTGTGGTGACTTAAATGGGAAGGAGAAACAAAAAAGACGGCTGCATATATACGTACAGAGGATTCAATTTGCTGTGAGCAGAAACAGTGTGAAGCAGCTGTACTCCAATGAAAACCAAAGCAAATAAAACATTCAGAGCAACACCTTCAAGAAAATACAAAGTCTTTTAAAATTTAGAGGGACTGTATCTGCCAGACCTTTTCAGTTTAGACAGAGATCCTACATACTTTGCTTAAGGAAAAGTGAGATTTATTGGCTTCTGTAAATGAGAAGCACAAGGACCAAGGTGCCTTTTAAGAGTTGATTCTGGGCTCAAGTCATCTTACCAGTTCTTCTCTCTCTCTCTCTCTCTCTCTCTCTCTCTCTCTAACACACACACACACACACACATACACACACACACACACACTCTGTCTCTCCTCCGCAAGACAAACTCCCCCCACTGAGCAGGGAAGATAGCAGTGTCTCAAGCTCCACATCCTTCCTGTTCTACCCTCAGGATAACAAAGAAGCGAGGATGTGCTGGGCTTCAAATTCACTGGCTAAAACAGGGCTTGACAACCCTAGGTGAAAGTGATTTTAGAACTACTTGCGGAGTATCCCAGTGACCACGTGTATTTCATAGTGGTTCGGGCTTCTGATTGCCCCCTCCAGCCCTACCTACACCAAGAAGCTGTAATAACTCATTCCTGTGAGTACTTATTCATGGTCAGCCCCTGCTCTTTGTCCCTGTGTGGTCTCTCCTTAAGTCCTGTGAGCAACTCTACAACGTAGTTCTTTCATTATCATCACTTATCAATAAGGAAAGTGAGACACAGACAGTTTAAGTAGCTGCTTCAAAGTTTTGTGGCCATTGGGTAGCAGGAATAGATTCCTGGGTCTAAATGTTCTAACTCCAGAGACCGTGCACATAACCACCACACGACTGCCTCTCACTTACTTCTGTGTGACTCGAACATTCCACTGTTGTTCAGTTGCTGAGTTGTGTCCGATTTTTTGTGACCCCATGGACTGCCGCATGTAGGCTTCCCTGTCCTTCACTATTTCCCAAAGTTTGCTCAAACTCAGGTACATTGAGTCAGTGATGCCATCCAACCATCTCATCCTCTGTCATCCCATTCTCCTCCTGCCCTCAATCTTTCCCAGCATCAGGGTCTTTTCCAATGAGTCGGCTCTTTGCATAAGGTGGCCAAGGTATTGGAGCTTCAGCTTCAACATCAGTCCTACCAATGGATACTTAGGGTTGATTTCCTTTAGGATCAATAATTGTTGCAAAGAATAGGGACAATGAATGCATTCACAATGCCAAGTAGGGACTCCATCAACAATAGCTAATGCTCCATTCCAGGAAGATGCTCATTTAAAGATTCTAGCTAGTCCAGCGAGCTCATAAGGATGACCAGGACCAGAATTATCAACCATTTTGAGATCTTTGTGTTAACAAGCCCAGGTCTCTGATGCAAGGTTTATACTTTAGTCAAGATTGTGAACAATATTTGGGGTTCAAGGGACAGAAATCCAACAAGTTGACTTAAACCTAAAAGACGAATATTTACTATCATTAATAAAATATGCAGACTAGAGCCAGTGCATTTTCAAATGCACTTTCTAGAAATCAGTCTTTCTTTATCTCCCGGTTTTACCTTCCTCCATGTTGGTTTATTTTTCCAGTTTGGCAGAGGTGGTATCAGTCTTTCCACACTGATACCAGTTTAGCATATTGACCTCCCCACTACCATCCCCAGATGAAGAGGGTATCTCTTTCATGAAACTTTCATCAAAAGCCCCGGGGAACCTCTCACTGGTCTGGCTTGAGTCACACGCCTGCCCCTGAACCAGTGCCTTGGCCATAGAGACACAGTGTTCTGGTTGCCCCCAAACAGCTGGCTCTGCCCACAAATGGAAACCAAGGTGCAGTTACCAAAAGCAGGGGAAAAAGATACAGGGCAACTACGATGATTCTTCTCCTCTAGAGCACTGTAAACAAAGGTGGACAATTCCAATCAGGGCTTCCCTTGTAGCTCAGTCAGTAAAGAATCTGCCTGTAATGCAGGAGACCTGGGTTCGATTCCTGGGTTAGGAAGATCCCCTGGGTAAGGAAATGGCAACCCACTCCAGTATTCTTGCCTGGAAAACTCCACAGACACAGGGGCCTGGCAGGAGCCCCATAGTCTATGGGGTCACGAGAGTCAGACACGACTGAACGACTAAGCTCCCTAAGCACACATTCAGTGAAGAAAGAGTGCTTGTTTCATCTCAGGAGGGCAAGCCTCATTTGAATTGCAGAAAGAAAAATTTAGTCTCAACAACTTTTCATTGTACCGTCCCTATTCGTTCAATACGTATTTATTAAGCACCTACTATGAATCAGATGGGCTTCCCCAGTGGCTCAGCAGTAAAGAATCTGCCTGCAATGCAGGAGCCGCAGGAGACGCAGGTTCAACCCCTGGGTCATTAAGACCCCCTGGAGGAGGGCATGGCAACCCACTCCAGTATTCTTGCCTGGAGAATCCCGTGGAGAATCCCATGGACAGAGGTGCCTGGTGGGCTATAGTCCATAGGGTCACAAAGAATCGGACAGGACTGAAGCGACTGACCACGCATGTATGCCTGCGTCAGACACCGTGAGAAGAACTGAAGATACAAAAAGGATACAAACACTTCTGCTACCCTCTACAGCTCCCTGTCTAGTGATGGTTTTTGTAGATGGAGACAAAAATTTTAATAGTTACCTTATAGTTTTATGCTCCAGACACAAAAATAACCTCCAAATAGCATAAATATTCAAATATTAAGTATTAAACAGTATTAATCACTACAAGAAAATATGGTAACAGATTTACATGATTGGATTTGTGCAATTTATGGCTTGGAGAAAAATGTATTCACCAAAATGTTTCAGAGGACAGCAACATACTTGTTTGGCAGAACTTTTGTTTGTTTTGTTTTAGTTTGGCTGTGTTGGGTCTTAGCTGTGGGATCTTTGTTTGGTGCCTGGACTCTCTAGTGGCCTTAATTGTGGGCTTAGTTGCCCCGAGACATGTGGGATCTTAGTTCCCTGAACAGAGTTCGAACCTGCTTCCCCTGCAAGAGGGGACCACCAGGAACTCCTGCAGGCAGAAATGTTTGATAAACTTCTTGGGGTACAGGTCAGGACCCTTGAAGAATACTCACCTATCAAAAGATGGTTCATTGCTTGCTTTACATAATAAAAGAACGTTGGGTGCTCCCTAGAGACAGACATTAAAGGGAGATTTGGCAAAAGAGGAAAAGATGGTGTGATGCTTTGCACTTAATGGTGGTGTTTCCTTCCTCCTGAAGCCTCCCTCCCTGCCCTCTGCCAGCCTCCACCAAACAATTGGTGTGAGTGGATTTATTGGGGAAACCAGTGAACGGACTGAGCTTCCTCCGCACGGAGCCTGTGGCTGCAGTCGCCACGGCTGGACAGACTGCAATGACATCTGGTTTACATTGACCTAATCGCAGGGTGGGGACAGACGCTCAAGCCTGACCCCGAAGGCAGGAACCATAAAAGAGACAGGGGCTAAATATGACTGCATCACACGAAACAGATTCCAAAAAGTTTAAAACGCCATAAACAAAGTTAGCGTGTCAAAGACAAACTGGAATGAGTTTTGTTTGCCGCGTAAATGACAGAAGTTTATTTTTATAAAAAGGACAGCAACATACTTGTTTGGCAGAACTTTTGTTTGTTTTGTTTTAGTTTGGCTGTGTTGGGTCTTAGCTGTGGGATCTTTGTTTGGTGCCTGGACTCTCTAGTGGCCTTAATTGTGGGCTTAGTTGCCCCGAGACATGTGGGATCTTAGTTCCCTGAACAGAGTTCGAACCTGCTTCCCCTGCAAGAGGGGACCACCAGGAACTCCTGCAGGCAGAAATGTTTGATAAACTTCTTGGGGTACAGGTCAGGACCCTTGAAGAATACTCACCTATCAAAAGATGGTTCATTGCTTGCTTTACATAATAAAAGAACGTTGGGTGCTCCCTAGAGACAGACATTAAAGGGAGATTTGGCAAGAGGAAAAGATGGTGTGATGCTTTGCACTTAATGGTGGTGTTTCCTTCCTCCTGAAGCCTCCCTCCCTGCCCTCTGCCAGCCTCCACCAAACAATTGGTGTGAGTGGATTTATTGGGGAAACCAGTGAACGGACTGAGCTTCCTCCGCACGGAGCCTGTGGCTGCAGTCGCCACGGCTGGACTGACTGCAATGACATCTGGTTTACATTGACCTAATCGCAGGGTGGGGACAGACGCTCAAGCCTGACCCCGAAGGCAGGAACCATAAAAGAGACAGGGGCTAAATATGACTGCATCACACGAAACAGATTCCAAAAAGTTTAAAACGCCATAAACAAAGTTAGCGTGTCAAAGACAAACTGGAATGAGTTTTGTTTGCCGCGTAAATGACAGAAGTTTATTTTTATAAAAATCTTTTTATTTATCATTAAGAAAACAAAGGCAAATACCCCAATAGAAATATAGGCAGAGAGCTGGGCATTTCCAAAAGGAAAAAAAATATAAATGATCAATTAACACATGAAGAAGATTGTTGTTGCTGTTGTGTCTTCCAATTGTGTCTGACTTTTGTTGTGTCTGACTCCAATTGTGTCTGCAACCCCATGGACTGCAGCACTCCAGACCTCCCTGTCCTTCACCATCTCCCAAATCTTGCTCAACCTCGTGTCCATTGAGTCAGTAATGCTATCCAACCATCTCAGCTTCTGTTACCTCATCTCCTCCTACCCTCAATCTTTCCCAGCATCAGAGTCTTTTCCAGTGAGTCGGCTCTTCGCATCAGGTGGCCAAAGTATTGGAGCATCAGCTTCAGCATCAGTCCTTCCCATGAATATTCAGGGTTGATTTCCATGAATATTCAAGATTTACTCATTTAATCTCCTTGCAGTCCAAGAGATGCTCATCTATAGCAAAAAAAAAAAAAAAATCCACCACAATTCACCATAAAATAATAACTTAATCCCATGGTTTGCTTATTACCGTGGGAGAAAAAAAAATTCATAATTCCCAGTGTTTGCTAGACTGTGGGGGAAATGGGCACCTTCAGATACTGCTCAACAGAGATAAACTTTCCAAAGTATAATTTAGCAGTATGTTCTAAATCCTTAATTGTATATATCTTTA